TATAAAACTTTAATAATGACACAGTACAAGCAGGCTTCAAAGAATTTCCATCAAACTTTGAGTTAGAAGTTTCTCCCCCTTTCACAACTGTTCTGATATATACATAAAGTTTGTTAATAATAATTATAAAAAGGACTAAAAACACAATACCTTCAGTTAGCAGGAAAGAAACTAACCTCAAAACTTGTGAAAACTTCCTCAGCTAGTGTGTACAGTGGTGACCAGACCAACAAGCTTTTGACTCCAATTTTTATTTCTATGCAAAATGTATTCTAGGTGGGTTAAATTACTATTTATGGCATCAAAAACCTTGGCAGAGAACTCTCACTCACTCACACAACAGAAACATGTTATCCAATCTGCAATCATTTTGTACAGTTTGAGCAATTCATGCCCATTATTTGCTACGGGTTATACACAACAGAATTAAAATGTCTGATGCCCTTGTACACTCGTAGACGTCTTGCTACCAGGACTGTTATACTCTACAGACAATGAATACTAAATACAGTCAGTGGTCACAAAATAAAAATGTGTTCATCGAGTAAACGCCCCTCCCTACGCTCGGCATGTAAATGGAACATCACACGCAATAAAACCGACCCCCAGAAAGGGTTGCCTGCCTCTCCACTAACACAACACAGTCTCATTCACCGTCTGCTCGCCCGTTCATTTGATCTTGCTTCATGTGCCTGCTGAAGGTATTATGTATTCTTTAAGAGTGTTCTGCTGTCTTTCAAGATACATATTTCTTCTTTTTCACTGCAACAGTTCCACACATTTCACTTCCTTGGCAACATTAAAACATGAGAACTAAAAACAACACCTCTTTAATAAGACATACAGCAGTACTTGTAGGAGCCAGGGAGTGCAAACAATGTGCTTGGAGGCCAGTGAGCCAATACCATCATCATACAGTAATGAGCGCGGACCCATTGAGCGATGCGTGACTTGACACTGCACCAACCAGGGCCCCACACACACACAGCAGAACTACACGAGATCATAATACCATCCAGCTAGGATTAAGATTTTAAATTCCCAAACAACACAGTCTCACACCTCGCTTCAGGTACGAGTACTTGACTCTACGACATAGGTGCAGTATCAAGTCGACCAGCCACCATTCACATTGTCTGCATGTCACATACACATTGTTGTTGATACTGCGCTACATAGAGTCCAGCCTCTTGCCAAGGTTTTCTTGTGAAGAATAAGCTCGTCTTCATGTAGCATCCACCAGCATTTTACAGCCAGTTTGATAAACACGACAGCTGGCTGACTGACTGACCCCAAACAACACATTCTGCACTCTTGGCTATATTAATCATAAAGTAATACTATGACTATTGTTCTTTGTACCATGTGTTTGTGCCAACTTGATATCAATAAATTCTGCACTGAGCCCCAAGAAAACTGGCCCAATTTATGCCTCAAGACTGAATCTGAACATCCAACACACAGATACATTCACAACCTCTCAGAGAAAGAATTAGCTGTATTTTCAGAGTCTAAAAAACTTGATTTTTTTAGGTGGCAATACTGCATACAAAACAACTTGCTTGCCTTGTGGCAAGCACAATGCAGGAAACTTTTCATTGTACAAGGCAAACTGGCCAACATGCCAATCAAACATAAACGCTCGCTACACATGGCTAAGCACACATGAAAATTACACCTGCCAACCACAACAGATGTTCTCAGGCTGTGCTATTTTCATATGTACCTTAACTTGGCAACTGAACACAAAGAACAAAAATGTTGTGGGAAATGTCTAACCTGCTTCAGAGTCACTCGAGTCAGATGAACTGCTAGAGAGGCTGGAACTACTGGAGTCTGTGTCTGAACTGCTGGAACTGGAGGCTGAGAGCCGGGAGGTGCCGCCCACATCCACAGACTTGCTCTCTTCTGCAATATACAGTACTGAATGGGTAAGTTTAAAAATGCCAATCTATGCAACCTGTTTCGCATCATCTACTAATATTGTCAGCACACAAAATGCCAATCCAAGTCACAATCTGAATTAAGTGACAGCCCATAAATGGTTTACTTCTACTGGCCTACACATGACATATGCTGATCTCTTAAATTATACACCGACTTCTATGATGTGGGATTGCTCGCTTGCATATCTAACCCCCTTTTCATAAGTCACATTACTATAAGTCTGCTTTATCAAAAAGCAGACTTATAAGCACAGGTATGGTAATGATGTGTGACATGACCAGATTCTTCAGTGCGTGTTGACTGTCTCAGAAATGTATTTTCTTTATATTCTTCATAAGTGTCAGAGATGGTGGCTAGAATTATATAAATCTAATCTCTGTTCAATTACTATATTTTAGTATTCCTACTAGAGGATGCATATGCAATTATACTTTCTTGTCCTGTAGCAACATTAATAAGCATGATACAACAACTATTATATAACAACAGAATGCAGTATGTAATTTCTGGACAGCAGTAGTTAAGTTATCAGTGTTTTATGACCAGGCCGATTTCCAGTCAACTTCTGCTTGCAGAAGAAAATAAACTAGTGCACAATTAGATTAAGAAATAACACCTGTTTCTGCAAACAAAAAGTGTCTTACACATAACACACAGCCAGAAGTGGTCTGCTCTGTGGCCTAATGCCTGCATACATATATAGCTGAGGTGGAAATCAGTGACAAGATACATTATGGTACGTATGTTTTGGAAAGTTACTTAATCTTACATCCTGTTTTGAGATCATAGCTTAAAAACAGAATAAAGACAATTTATTTAATGATATTCTGCTCTATGACTTTTTACCAAAGTGGCAATTTAAACAAGTCAAGACACTCAACATCAGACCATGCCAGGAACTTTAATTATATGATTTCTAGGTTTTCGAGCTGTGCGGACCGGTCGGTAGATGCCAACATTTCGGAGAACTGTAAAGTCTGCCATCTTTCGGGCTGAAATGTTGGCATCTACCGACCAGTCAACACAGTGCCTAAACCCTGATCATCATCACTGTGAAAACCTCAAACCTTAATTATGAGTTTCTTTACATATTCATGTAACTTTCCACAGTCATCACACATTACCTTTCTTGGGAGGTTTCTTTGCTGACCCAAGCTGTCCTGTCACATCCTGCAACCTCTTCTCCAGCTCCTGCTTCTTCTCAGCCATCTGCTCATCTTTTGATTTTCCCGGAAGTTTCTTGTCTGAAACACAAGGCCAAATCTCATTATAATGAATGTGGCTGGTACATTTCAACTGCATCAACATTTTCAATTTAGTCCCTCAACTTCAAGCAACTGAATCCTTATAACTTTTTCCCCTTAATATACCTCGGTTCAGATGCACCATAATTACATGTGTCAATGAATGCCAAATCAGTGTGGTGGTACATTAAATCCAGAATTAATGGGTATAGTTCTGTGACACACAACCAGCCAGACTGCTTGTAAGCCACAAAGATTAAGCCTTCTCCTGTTATATTCAAGAGGACTTTATTATGCCACAGGGTTTTGCCACCAAGTCTGCCACATCTCCTAATCACTGATGAACATGGAAACAGACGTGACATCTGAGACAACTGACAGTGTAATATCTTCACAACAAAGCAATATGGTTCTCTGACATGAATATAAACCATTCACCTCATTACCAGGAGCACCCAAAATCATTATGGTTACACTGATTATGGCTTGTGAAATGGACCTACAGTTTCAGTCTCCAAACCACAGTGACAGTTTAGTGTTCCTCAGATCCACATACCCTGTACACTACCACAAGACTCAAAATTTGCACTGGATTGGAAAGGGAAGGCCAGCACCTACCAGTTCTCCACATTAAGAAACAAGATCAAAATGCACTGTGGTGGATATGCTTTATGGAAGTTAAGAAAAACAAGGACAGGAGAAATGCTGTCATTGAACAGATGGAAGAGATGAAAATGAACTCACCTGGCAAAGCAGCAGAAAGCAGCATGACATGAAGAACCATAATTTCATAAGAAAAGAAGACATTATTTGCTACTTTTTTTTTTGGGGGGGGGGGGGGTTAAAAACCCGTATGATCAAAGAAATTAATTACATTCTTAATTGTAACTAGGGTAGTGCCAAAGATTCTGTTCTCAGACCCAACACCCTCCAGATTAACTTCTTCTTCTTCTCCCTTTTTTTTTTTAAAAAGATGGCTTTACACAAAACAGCCTTGCTGTAGGATAATAAATATTTTTCTAAAATGTAACCTACTCTACAATTCAAAACAGTAACCAACTATTTTACCAGGTACATTCTAAGGCTGTATGGATTATTATACTGATAACAAATGTATCTAAAGAACAGAAAGAATGGAGGATGAAAAAGGACAAAAATTGTAATTTATGTGCATCAACTAGGGTTAAATGAAGCAAGGTAATGGCTTGAACATGCACTCAAAATTATGATGGGAAACATCTAGGAAATAACATAAGACTGGGAAGATAATGAGAGAACGATATTTAAATAAATCTTGGGGACTTAATAAGTAGTAGAAATGTGATAAAGACTGATGAAGGTGGCAGGCTTTGGTATTAGTTGCAATAAACCTCTGGGCTTACTTGTAGGAGTGAGTTACTTAAAGACTAATTTGTTCTGAAACAAATGTGCCAAGTCTGGGATACTCCCTCTCCTTACATACAATGCAAACTCCATCACTGACACAAAAGAAGAAACATGACTTTTGACTTTCTCTTACTAGTCAATCCATAAATCTTCAACACAAAACACTGCAGTCAGAAAACTGCCCATATACTGTTTGTTATTAAATACAAGGACCCACAGTAGGGTGCAAGTTACTATGCCCCATCATATTTCATCAATCTTTGCATAATATAGAATATGCCTTTGCTGTTAACACAGTTCTTTCTGCAACATTTCTAACAAGTCCGTCAGTAAGTCAGGAAGTAAAGTTTGTAAAAATATAAATTCATAATTTTCAATATGGTACAATTGAAATAACACTAGGAGGTGGAGCAAGAACAAAGACACTCTTACAATTTCATAAAACAATGGCTATATGGACCCTAATTAAACAATAAATCAGCCAAACTGAAAAAAGCTGAAATAGGGTTCCTAAGGAGTGTTGCAGGTTACAGGAGAAGTGACTATCAGAAACAAAGAAAATAGACAAAACAGTTTAATATCCACCACATGGAAAGAAAATGCGACCTTTTACAGTCTTTAGAACAAACCATCATTTCATGAATTGTATGATTTTAACAGAGAGACTAATGAATTAATGTTTTTGCCAGTGATGATGACCTCTTGAGTTTGAAACGTGTTTGGCACAAAGTGTTATTTAAAGTGTAAACAGTTTTGTTTGTATGCATGATTTTATATGGAAAGGATGAAAGATTTTACCAGTCTCCACCAAAAGGTGAAAAGAGCCAGAAGATCAAATTATGAGTTCAACCTTGGAGATGGACGTCTACCAAGATTGATCCTTCAGGTTAACAACAAAGGGTGTGTGTGATCCAAATAGGACTGCTTTTTACTTCTCCTCTTTCTGATGACTATTCTTCTTCTTTGACAGCCACAAAAGGCCTAATTTTTCTTCCTTCCTTTCATAACAACCCAGCCTTCGTCTCTAACAGCTTCCATAGGGCACTTCCTTGCTCCCATTGCCCAGAGGAAAAGTATCTAAAATGTAACTTTAATACTTTGTGACACTTATCAATCCGACAAAAATTCAAGTAATACCACCA